CACCAAGCTTGCTGATAGTCTTGTAGCCTATTCCAGCCTTGTGCAGGTCTACAATCTTGTCCCTAACGTCCTTTGACAGCTCTTTGGTCTTTCCCATGGTGGTGAGGTTTGAATGGAAAAAAAAGATTCTGTGGACAGGTGTCTTTTATATACATAACAAGTTGTCGTGAGGAGCACCTTGTTAAATTGACAGGACTTATCTGTGTACCACATAGCCAGTCTGTGGGAGGAGCCAGAATTATTATTGGTTGGTAGGGGATCAAATACTTATTTTACTCACTGAACTGCAACTCAATTTCTAACATTTGTATCATGTGTTTTTCTGGATTTTTGGTTGATATTCTGTCTCTATCATTTAAAATACACCTATGATACAAATTAGAGACCTTTCTTTTCTTTGTAAGCAGGCAAACTTAAAAAATCTGCAGGAGATCAAATAATTATTTTCCTCACTGTACATGCCAACTTCCCTATGTCATGTCTCTTTACAAACACTACAAGTACAAGGAAATGGTGGTTTGTTGGCAGCAATCCAGTGTGCTTTCCACTTTCTGTGCTGCACTGAAATTCTAAGCAGTCCTGTCTAGCTTTCTCTGTGAATTAGAAAACTCTCCTTTATGTTATGGAGATGAGGGGAGGTGTTCTGTAGTCCTGACACACTTTACTGTCCCAGGGTGACAACATTGCTCCTCCATAGATACAGTACAGGAGATGAGGATTGTCATCCTAGGACATGGATTGTTCACTGGCAGGAAGGATCTGGGAGGTGAAAATAAATAGGGGGGGGGGCCTGGAACACGCCACCATATCTAAGCACTGGTAAGCTGCAATATTATACATTTTAGTTCTGGGGTTTAGCTGTACTTTAAAACGGTTTCATGTAACCTATGTTGAGTCTATTATAGTCACCATGTAAGCTCCCATTCTCATTAGGTTCTTCCATCTCATCTTTGTCTACTTCTTTATATTACAAAACCTTTTATGGAGGTCGGATGGATAAGATTACCAACTTTAGGTTTTTTTTCTCCACATGAGGGTTTCTAGCAAACCTCTATAGTGCAGATTTCAGCGAGACCAGAATAGTGGTTTAATTTATATCAATTAATATTCCAAAGAACAAACTACTTTTATGGTCACTACATCACAGGATTCTTCCTCATAGGAATGAACAATATATCAGTTTATGTATCCAATGGAACGCCAAACTATTAGACAAGTTCCATGTGTTCTATAAACGTTGACATGTATTATCAGACATATGAAAACCACATTAAAGTACAACGCCAGTATTTGTTTATTATTAGTTCCCTCCCTGTATACAAAATAAAATCTTGCTGATTTCTAATTACCCATGCCATGCTCCAGCACTGTCCCGGAGGTCCTCCTCAGTCCAGTACCGGAAGACCTCTTTAGGCAGAGCGACATTCATGCCATTCTGCCCCTTTCCTGTGAGCCCAGCCTGTTGTTTTCATGCACCCTAGGGGGCTCATCATCACACAGGCTGAGTTTACAGTACTCCAGGACTGAGCCGGTGCTGAACTGTCATTAGATGAGCTCTGCTCAGTCCTAGAAAAATGCCTGCTGGGAATAGGATGTACTGGTGACATCATGGAACAGGCAAGAAGATTGCAAGAGAAAAGGTATGTACATGGCAGGAGGTTGTGAAAAAGCTGGAGTTTGGCTATATAACCCTGCTTGGGACCTCTTATAATACAATGATCATATCACATTTCCACTGGACTTTCAAACCAGTATGTTTAATTAGCACTATCCCATGAAATGTATTTATGGTAATGCCAAGTCCCTTATAAAGATCCACCTGATATTCAGTTTGAATTACTTCCATGTAAATGACTCCTCATTTTGCAAAACACACATTGCATAACTTGACACACATTCCATATGGGGTTTCCATTCAGAGTTCTTTACTGTGCTACTCAATGGGCCTACATGCACCACACTTTTACCTGGCATTTCATTGGTATCCCTGGTTTTCTCAAGTTTGGTGTTAAATTGGATACAAAATGATAGATTTCTAATCGTGTAGGGGCAATAAGTGGTTTATTCGTTCTTTGGGATGTTACATGCTTGGGCAAGCTTATTTTCCTGTAATTATTTCAAAGCGTTTTGTACATTTTGCTATATAATTGTTCATTTTTGATAAATCAGACTTAGCCAAAGATGATAATGAAGATCACCAGCACTCACAAATTGAAGAAATCCAGAAGTTCTCTTTATTGTAGAATAGCGTCACATGTATCCAATAGCCAACGTTTCGGGGACCACATAGTAACCTATGCTTGCACCTTAAGAAGGGACCCTGCCTGGTCCAAAAACGTTGGCTATTGGATACATGTGACATTATTCTACACTAAAGAGACCTTCTGGATTTCTTCCATCTGTGAGGGCTTGTCATCTTTATTATTATCATCTCTGGATTTGCACGGTACCATCCGTGGACATCACTGCAAGCACCATTGCTATTCTACAGCATTATAGGTCCTATGTGCGTTTATTATTATTTTTAGATTGGAGCTAGTAAGCCATTGCAGCCGCGATCAGGGGATTGAGGGCGCAATGCTCTGGCTCCTGTAGATTCCAATACATCGGTACGGACATTCAGTAACATGGACAGGAGGAAGAATGAATTGGCTACAAGTGTGGTGATGTCACCGCACTTGTATTCCATGGAGAACTACAAGTCCCTGTGGTGTGGTGGCTGATAGGACTTGGAGTTTCTCCATTCACAGATCCTGACAAAGCATCTGGAAACAGATGACACGGCTGCGTGGGCAGAGCCACACACAGCCGCACTAAATAAAAAAAACACCACCAGCCTACGGGGAGAAGAACCCCACGCTTCAGGTAAGTGGGAGCGGGTTACACCCTAAATATGGGTGCAACATGAAAGATGGTCAGAAAGGAACACTTAGACTTTAATAAAGACTGGAATAATTGAGATACATTTACATTAACCTGCATTTTCTGCTGCTCACGGCAACGTCTGTTTATATTCACAAAATAAATGTAACAGGGTGATTGAAGATGAAGGTACTGGGTGAATAAGGGAAACAAAAACACAGTGGAGGTTTACAAAGAAAATTATGAAATTCACCTTGTTCATAGTAGTGTAAGTTATTAATGTATCGGTCAGCTCTTTTTAAATACAGATAATGTCACTGAAAGCAATGCTTTCCATTGACAAAGGTTACATTTCAGACTGTGGGCGAGGTAAACTTGAGCCTCCATTCACACGAGTCGTTTTATAAGGCCAAATACGCATGGAACCGCACTAAACATAAAATGCAATGCAATATTCGAACTATTGTGGCGACCGCGCGGTACAAAACTGTGCGCCCCGCAAAATAGTCCAAGCGTGATTTTTATGGGCGGATTCCCCACGTTCCAGATATAGTAATAGCTGCAAACGTGCCGAATCCGCTCCAAGCTCACTCCCGTGATGCACTACAATCTAACATTCAGTTTGCTAATTTGTATGGAGGTTGTAGACTATCACAGGAGCGGGCTTGGAGCGGGAAAATCTTTAAATAGAGATACTTGTTCTGTCCAAAACTAAAACTACTGTAGGTAAGTTTAAATTACTCCGATTTCTGATTTCTCAGCTGAACTATGACCACCATTGCCAAACTAAGAATGCTCCTGGTTATGAAGACACCAGAAGGTGCCAGATGATATCTGTTGGCCCCCTTTGCAGAGCACCACAAAAGTTGCTATTTACATACTGACTTTTTGATGATACTTGATTGATATTTGCATAGGCTTAGTCACGCTCCCTTGAAGCACCTAAGTGTTATCTTGGGGGTGCCTTTTCCCCCTAAATTTCTAAAGTGGGGAAGGTTTGCCTAGAGGTGAAATCTAGCAATTTATTGTTTTTCTTATACATTGATGACTTTATTTTATTTGTGTTTTATCATTTTATTGCTTTTCTTTACATGAGATCCGGTTTATTGGTATTTATTTTTGTTTATAATGATGATGATTTATGCCGTTAAATCCACATAGCTTTGTAGGCCTATTTCTAAAGGTTGAATTTACTGTTTCTCAAATGTTTCTGAACGTTTTATTTATAAAGCTGCTTTGAGCCATTCCTCTACTCATTTTTATCATAGTTAAATAAAGTGACAGTAACCCTGCAAACAATATTTTGCAGATGTCTGTCAGCTTGTAAGGGCTTCTGATTTATTTATTTTTGTTCTGATAACTACATCACCCTAAGCCAGGCATAATGTAAGTGTTCCTTAGACCAGGGCTCAAAATTTCCACTCGCCCCCTCGCAATTGGCGAGTGAAAATTGCGTGGGGGCGAGTGGAAATCCAGGGGGGGGACTTCCGCCGCTTCGGCAGCGCCGATCGCTTTCTGTTTCCTCCACCCGCTTCTTGGAGCGGCACCGCAGCCTCCGACGGCCGGGCCGCTTCTCCCTCGGCCCTAGCCACAAACTGACCTGGCGGAGTTAAGGGTGGGGCACGGTAGAGGTCAGGTGGGGCGACTGGTGGCGAGTAACTCTTAAGGCCTGGCTAGTAGCTCAGGACTTGAAATTTTGAGCCCTGCCTTAGACTGTGGTTTTCTCAAAGGAGTCTCACACCTCAACTTAGCCACCATTACCTGAAAGCTCTGCTACTATTGGAGACAGGATTTTAAGAGCTTTATCACATAGCATATAGTAAAGCTAGCTTTATCAGCATCCTAATAATGTTGGCTGAATGGCTTTCATGTTGGTCTTGTGGATTCAGTACTCTGATTTACTTACCCAGCATGATCAGAAGTTCTGGTTTCACATGCTTCGGACTGGTTCTGCATCAGTGGCTTAGAGTGTAGAAGCCAATGGTAACCTGACCACTAGTATTTTCCGAGAGGTCAGCAGTGGCAGATTATGTATTTCTCTCATTGCAGTTTTTTTTTTTTTGGTACCGAATGTTCAGACTCTTGCATATGTCTATTAAGGATTAAACATCAAATTTATTTATAATTGCTTTTTCCAGGACACTCGACCCAACATGTCAAGACCTATGATCACCAGATCACCTGCTTCTCCTTTGAACAATCAAGGCATTCCTACCCCAGCCCAGCTCACTAAATCCAATGCTCCAGTTCACATTGATGTTGGCGGTCACATGTACACAAGCAGTTTGGCGACACTAACAAAATACCCAGATTCCAGGTAAGAAAGCTGAACCTGTTGGTGGAAGTATGGTAAAAAAAAAAAAGAAATGTTTCTGGTGGCTGTTTAAAGTGTTTTCATTTTAATAATGTTCTAAATAAAACTTTTAAAATGGCATCATTTTTGAAGTCAAACCTGGGGGGGGGGAGAGATGTGGCGTCATCTGAAAGAATTTTTTGAGGGAATGGCAGGAGCTGACCTGAAAACGCTTGGCTGTTGACTCTTGGAACTGATCCCCAGGCTTCTAGTTGTCCTGAGTTATTGTCCAAGGTCAAGCATGGAGAAACGTAAGTGAGGTCTATGACACACTAGTGAAGTCTCCTCTCTGATGAACAAGATTCTGAAGCATTTCCGCCAGCAAGAAAGTAAACTGGTTTCCTTTAATATACACCTATAAAACTCTACAATAGGCAATCATATTCCTTTGAAAAAGGAATCCTTTTAAAAGTGACTACCTCTGCCACAAGAAGTGATGGTCACAATGCATGACTACACACTATAAATAAGCCTTTTGGTGGACATGGACATAACCATCTTGCTGTCACACAGCCTAGGAACATTTCTTGTGCTCCTCAACTGATAGGATTGCCTGGCGTTTTTTATATTTATATTGGCACTTATTTTTAAGTTTGATATGAACTGGACAAAGTGGAAAGGAGTAGCTTTAGCTATAGATGTAACACGTGATAGTCACCCATACAATAGCATGGCAGAGAAAGCCAACTGATAAAAAATAAAAGCTTCAGCTGTCCTTATTTTATTAGCTGGCACATATTGCGCAATTAAATGTATTCAGATCTTTTAAGTTGCTTTAGACCTTGGGCAATGTTCAGGGCGTGTATACTGCTCAGGCATAAATATGACAGTTTCTCAGATTCCTTCCCAGAATTTCCAGCAACACGGTTTTCCTGGAACTTTAGTAATCAGTGTATGCCATTAACACTGGCGCAGCATCTTATTGTTCAACAACTAATCGTTGGATCTCATTTCTCTTCAGCAGTGTTTTTGTCTTCAAGCTATTTTCATAGATCTTATGAAGATTTGTAAAGCACTGTATGCAAATATATTCTGCTTATGGCAAAATGTTTTATTTCAGCAGAAAGCTTATCCATATTCCTTTTTCTTGGGGATTGGTTATACTTGTGGCCATACATATAATTACTAAGCTTTAAAGACATTAGAAGTAGAGTTGACTATAGAGCTCTCCTCATTGGAAAGCATTTTCAGTGGTTAAAGATGCTCAGTTCCTAGAATAAAAGTATAAAATAAAGTGCCCCCTGCAAAATGACATATAATGCCTACCTATCCCCATGTAGCCAAACTTCACTGTATTAGGGCAGGTTTCACACCATTTTCCAGACCAGATCTGGTCCGGAATATGGTGTGAACATGCCCGCAGTTCCAGTGCAATCCAGACCAGACAAAATGAGACATGCAGTATTTTTCTGGTCTGGTCTGCGCTGGTGTGAACAGAGGCCAGAAATAGCATAGGCATACATTAGGATGCATTTTGGGTCCGGAAACAATCTGGTCTGGTCTGGAGATGATCTGGTGTGAATGGGCCCTTAAAGAGCTACGTCTGCCAGAAGAATCTACAAAATGTGACACTCCCTGAAATTGCAGGTCCCCTGCTGTGCTCTGTGGTTTCCCCCACCGGTCCCTACATCATTACATGACACAGTAGTGACATCAAAGCCATTGCTCTGTGAGTTCTCCCTCCAGTCCCTACATCATTACAGGACACAGGAGTGACATCAAGGACAGTGGATCGAACTAGTAAACACAATGAGGAGCACTAGGAAGCCTGTACTGGGACTTATGCACTTCATGAATGCAGAGGTACTGAGTTTGGGAAGTCCCAGGATGCATGTAAGCAATGGGGTTTACATGCATACCTGTAAAGCTGCGGCTTCAGCCTGCCAGTGATTGATTTGTACAGGATGGCTATATGCTGCTGTACAGTGCACCTGTCACTCCAGATCAGAGAAATACCCCAGGATGTGAGGTTCAAGAGCCTTTAAATTGCAGATTATGGCTTATTAGGAACAACAGTCAATCAAACGTCTTTTTTTTTTTGCAAGGCATATATGTGTTTTATTTGTATGTCCCATGTTGTAATCAAGTTGGGAACATACATTTTGTCTCTTTCCATGATGCATAAAAATAAAGCCGTCAAAGCACCCATAAACCTAAAGCACCTTTTTTTTTTGGGAAAATTATTTTTATTAAAGTTTTATACAAGTAATACATTTAACAACATTTGCTCTCACAACCGTGCAGCACACAATAAGTGCAACAATTCCACCCCACCCAAGCCAACCCCAACCATGGGGGTTAGCTCCTTATAAACAAAAACCTAAAGCACCTTTAATGAGTTACTGAGATTATAATGAAGAGTTTAAAATCTTCAGAGGTTATCAGAACAAATGACAAATAGGGTAAAGCTTAAATATGCCTACCTATCCCCATTAAAGTTCTTCAAAGCTTAAAGGTTAAAGTTCTTCAAAGCTGTTCTGAAGGGGCTAATTGGGAGGAGCTCGGAGAGAGGTAGATATTAAATAGTGTTACTCCAACACTTAAGTTTAT